TACAGAAAGAAAAATTCCAGAAACACACAGAGATGCCAGTTTTGTCTGTGTGGGGAAGATGAATGGGTTTTAAAACAGGGAGATGAAATGACACTAAAAGAATATTGGTAGCACAAGAAGATTGGAATTTGAAACCAGAAGAGAGAAAGAATTGGCCTTGTAAAGCCGCTATGTCCCTTACTGGGTATGGTGAAGGCAGGAAACTTCAGAAGAGAGAGGTGAGTGCACTGCTGAGCCAGCTAGCTCCAGCAGAGTGGGGCTGGTAAGTGATGCGCAGGTGACCTCGTGGGGGATTCTGAAACCCTATTGGTTTTCCTCCCCATCCATCTTTTGAACCTAAACAGAATTCAACTTGGTTTTTCTGAGGGTAACTTAGGGATACTTCTCTGCTTTCTTCTTCTAAAGTTTATCTACATATAATCAGAACTCATTCCTGTGAAGTCAGAATGGACTTATTATGACCATCCAGTGTGCTTTCAGAAGGTGTAAATCACATGAGAGGAGATTGTCCATTTTTTTCCCTCAAAAGCCCTGGTGGATTTGAACTGCCAGAGAGATAGGTTCATAGTGCAGCTTGCTATGAGCTCCACCAGGGCTCCATCTGTTTACAGAAAGGACCTCTAAAAGGATTTAAAATATTGTCATTTCTGGTTTTGTTTCATGTTCTTGCTTTTCTCCCCTCTATATTTCTTTTTCATAGTCTTTGGTCATTGAATCAGTAAAGATTCATGTGAACAGGTAAAGACTGCAGAAAGAAGAGATAGAAACTGATTTTACTTTTTCAAGTGTCTAGGGGATGCCTGATGGGAAGGGGCTGTACTGGAAACCCAAAAGCATGTGGTTTGAATCCACCAGCTGTAAGAGAAAGATGGGCAGTCTCCTCCTGTGCAGTTTACTGCCTCTTAAACCCACTAGAGGGTCAGCTATGAGTTGGTACCAACTTGAATGAACATAATAATAATTTCATTGTGATAATATTTATTTACGTTTTTACTGTGATTTGAGGGGAGTTCTGGTGTCTTAGTGACATGAAGATGCGCTGCAATCACAAAGGCACACGGTTCAAACAAACCAGCTGCTCCTTTGGATAACGATGGGCAATTGCCTCTTGTGTGATTAACTGCCTCTAAAAATCTGCTGGAGGGTCAGCTATGGGTCAGTTCCGACTAGACAGCACACAGCAACAATAACAAGTGTAATTTGAATGAGCAGATTGCTTGTCCAATGGTTTGTACACATTTTGGTTTGTTACATTTGTTACAATCCCCCACAGTGTGTGACAACATTCTTCCTTATGATGCTTAAGGTTATTTGTCAACTGTGGCTAGGCCATGATTCTCAGTAGTTTGGCAGATATTTTATTAAAGAGGCATTTTCTTGGAGGTATGGCCTGCATTCAGTACAAAACTCACCTTCTCTCTCATCCTGTATCCATTTCTCCTTCTTAATTTTGGTTCTTGGGTTGTGGGACATCACCCTGCTGTTTAACTTACTGATATTGGCTTTATCACCTCCTGTAACTACTTGAATTGGGAGAAGCCTCCTGATTCCTGACCAGTGAACTGGGAACTTGTAGTCTCCAGAGCTGCAGGTCCCATTTCCCTGAAATAAATCTCTCTTTACATACGTTAGTGGTTTTGCTTCTCAAGAGGACCCAGCCTAAGACACACAGTTTGTAGGAAAAATAATAAACATTTAAAAAACTTGTTTTACTGTGGTAAGGAAATAAAGCAATATACAGCAAACCATTTTCCAATTCAGCACTTTTGACACAGTGACATTAATTATGTTCATCATTTTGTGTTATATTTATTTCTGATTCCACCACCATGGACAGAAACTCAGTGTCCTCCAAGCCCTGCCTCCTCCTTTCTCTCTGACAAGCATGAATAAACATTAGTCTTTGTACATTTGCTTATTCTAGATATTTCACAGAAGTGGTACCATGCAGTGTTTGTCCCCTTGGGTCTACCTTTCACACACCACAGCAGTTTCACAGTTTGTCCATAGCATGTATCAGCATTTCAGTCCTCTCATGACTGGGTATGTTATGCACCACAATTTTGTTGATCCATTGATTCATCAGTTTAGGTTGTTTCTACCATTTGGCTATTGCAAATAGTGCTGTAGTGAACATTGATGTGCAAGTTTCTGTTTGTTTTTCTGTTTTCAGCTCTCTTTGGTGTATGCTGTTATTTGTTGTCAAGTTCATCTTCACCTGTAGTGCCCGTAGGTGACTGAACTGCCCCATAGGGTTTCTTCAGTTGAAACCTTTATGGGAGCAGATTATTAGGCGTTTTCTGCCACAAATCAACTGGAATATTTGAATTCTTGACCATTGTTAAACTGAAAGCATAACAATTGTTCCATCAGGAATTTTCTTTAGATATACACATTCTTATCTAGTCACATTCTCTCCAGTGGAAATTCCTTTTCTGGACTTGGCATTATTATACTTCTCTGACATGTACTGTAGCTAGACTTTTTTCAGATCATTTTCTCACCCTGCCACTTTGGACGGGTTAATTGTTTGTCATGAGAGACTAGGCACTGTGGGAGGTCTTGCAGCATCTGACCTCTTCCCTTTCCATACCTGCAAGGCCACCCAGTTAAGACACCAAAACTAACTCCAGATTATTGTCAAACAAAATTGCCCCTGGCAGAAAATCTGGTCTAACCTATCAGAATGCAGATATTTTTCTTACCTCCTTGAGTACTTAAAGATGCTGATTTTAAATTTTTTCAGATGTGGGTTAATGTGAATTCAGTTTGTTTCTGCTATAATGGTGATTTTTATTTTCATGCAGAGTAATTTTAAGTATATATTCTTCTTCCCTTCAACAGAAGTTATTCTTGGCTGTCTCATATATTCTAGGTTGTGCAAGAGGATTTATGAGGTAATTTGATTCCTCTGACGTCCTTATGGATTTCCCCAGTACTTGATTAATTTTTATGTTAATATCCTATTGAGAAATTCACAGCTTTAGTTTGCTTGCCTCCACAGTCAACATGTTTGGTACCAGTAGCCAGGAAATGAAAAGATTCATTGTGATGGGAAAGTCTGTTGTTAGGGACCTCTCCAAAGTACAGAAGAGCAATGATGTCAGTCTGGAGACTAACGTGCACCTGATACAGGCCATGGTCTTTGCAATCACTTGCTATGCATCAGAGAACTGGACAATGACTAGGGAGGATAGAAGGAGAGTTGATGCCTTTGAG